CATGGAAAGTGACATGGACTCAGATATTATTGATAGGAAGCAGGCCAAGAGATGCTCTGGTAAATAGGACAAATATAAAGTTGGGGTGGCAAAGAGCTTAAGCAAATGACAAAAAGGCAGTCAGAGGATGCAGATGGGGATAGACCTGGGGGATATGGAGAGAAATGAGATCAGAGAAACAGCTCCTTGCGGCCATTGTAAGAAGCTTAGTGTTCCTTCTGCTTTCCATGGGTAGCCAGCAGATGTTAATGCAATGAGTGATGTGACCTGGTATATATTTGTATTTACTGATGGAGAATGAACTCGAGGGGAAAAAATAAAGGCAGAATGTCTTACTGAAAGTGCTCACATAGTCTTGTGTTCTAACAGTGTCACTGTTGACAAAAGGTCCGAATGTGAACCATAGGAAGAGGTTGCTAGGCTTACTGAAGGACTGCTTGGAGAAGAGGAGGGAAGAGCATGTAGGGGTACCATGAGGTGTTCCATTCCAACCCACTGTAAAGAACAGGGGTCCTAGTAAACAGAAATGGTGAAAGTAGTGGGAAGCTTCAGAGAGGTTGGTGCCACGAATCAATAGTTACTCTGATCAGGTAAGGCTGAACTCTATAAATCAAGTGGCATAGAGATAGCTGACAGTCAATAACCTGGAGCTCAGGGGAATGGTCTAGGTAAAGATAAATTTTATAAGTCATCAACTACATATAAAATGTTAATCCTTGAGGGAAGTGGCAGAAGAACATTAGTGTTGCATTTGTGAGACCCTGGGTTTGATTCTCATTACTACCAAAGGGGGGAAAAATTAAACCATGTATCTGAGTAAGACTCACATTGACTGATGAAGGTAGAGTATGAAAGGTAAGGAATATGCAATGTGTTGATTTTGAAAGAAAAGAAACATGAATTTAATTTCAGAACCATAAGGTTGAAGTGAACGGTTATTTGGCTTTACCAGTGATTCATACATATTCACATTATTACCATCCTTGCATACTGTGACTTATCCTGTGTCTCATCTGTAGTCTCGGTTTTTTGTTGTTCTCTGATAATAAGCAACTGTTTGCCAGTCACACAGATGGTACTTTTCAGATATCCTTTATAGCATGAGTATATGAATACTTTACATAAATCACTGATATATTATGGAGATAGTACAATAAAGAGCTGTCTTAAAATTTTCAGAAGAAAAAAATTAAAACATATCTCAGAGAATTATAATCTTAAAAGCTTCACAATCTTGGAATTTTTTCAAGAAAACAACTTTGAAAAATAATTGAGCTCTACAGACAAGTCTACTGACTCACATAGCTCTGCAATGAAACTCAAACAATAATGACTGATTTCCAAACTATCCTGGTGTTCTCTCCCAAGTCTCCACTACAGAACATTTATTTCCAATCAAACACTGTCAGCACTAACTACATTTTGAATGAACAGAATGTATCAAGTTGCTTCAACGGGTAGGCTAGAAATTTTTCTTTCACTCTATGCCTATTTGTTTTTTCACCTCTATATTGAATTCCTTGCCCAGTTTCTTAAATACATTTAAGTATACATCGTATTGCTAAAGGGGTAAAATGCATAGCTTTGTGGCTAAAAAAATTTTTCTTTTGCTACAACAGTTTACAGCTTTATGTTATTTAAGTTTTTTCCTTGGTTATAAGATATTTGCTCAATCTTTTATTTTTCATATCTAAAATATTTTACCCTAATTTTTAAATATGGTAATTTAAATATTTAAAATATCACCATTTTGAACACTACCCTAATTTACTCATAATTAAATGCATTACTTCATTTAACAAAACTTTTTAATCACCTCCTCTGCAGTGGGCTTTAGGGATAAGATGATGAATCAAACAGTCCAGATCCCTGATTTGAACCTAGTCATACAGAATATCCTGATACACTACATTTCCTACATCATTTTTCATTTAATTTTTTTACAAAATAAAATTTTGTGATTTGCAAAACTGTTCATAATAGAATTGTTTTGGGTTTACAATGTTCCAATACCACTCCTACCACCAGTATCCCTCCCCTCATCAATGTCCCAGGTTCCCTCCAACCCCCTACACCTCACCAAAGGCAGGGATATATAACATTAATTTCACATTACTTATTCCAATGACAGGTATATAATATTAATTTCATACTACTTGCATCAATACAACTTAAAGGAATGGAAAATAGAATTTTCAGAAAATAAATCAATAAAAGTCAATTTGGGATGATTGACTGCTAAGTGGTTTTACCCAATGTGAATATGACATTGATTATTGAAAATGCATAACATTCCTTAGCAAGCTAGGAGTAAACATAAATTTCTTAATCTAGAAGAGGGTAAATTTATGCTCCGCCAGGGAGTGTCACACTTGGTGCCACATGGTGAATTCCCAACATCTTAGAAAATGATCATTTCAATTATAAAATGTTAGTATGTTTATACAGATTACACAAATATATCCTAACTACTGCCACTTATGTTTTTGTTTTGTTACAGTGGATCAACTGTGGATTACATCAATGCCCTCACATACATGAAGCATGCCCTCTACCACACTAAGCTATATTCCCAGTGAAGCAAGTACCCTTGCCAAACAAATCATGTTCTCATGTGGGAAAGAAGAAACATTCCAGTCTTTCTGCACAAAAGTGTAAACAAATGAGCTCTGTGATGTTGGATGTGGTAATGTCATACTGTCCTGAAGAGATGATTTACAAACCTTTCTCTGTTAACTTATACATTCTCTACTTATCCAAAGGTATTACAAAATTTGAAAGAACTTATTTATTAGAAAATAATCGGGGCTGGAGCGATAGCACAACAGGTAGGACGTTTGCCTTGCACGCAGCCAACATGGCCAACACAGGTTCGATTCCCAGCATCCCATATGGTCCCCCGAGCACCGCCAGGAGTGATTCCTGAGTGCATGAGCCAGGAGTAACCCCTGAGCATCGCCGGGTTGACCCAAAAAGCAAAATTAAAAAAAAAATCATAATCATTCACTCAAAATAATTCAAATGTTTCAACTTAAGTAAACTATTCTTTTCTCAACAGAAAATATTGCATCCTCAGCACTGGGGAAAGCTTAGCAGAAGTAGTTACTTAATATAAAACTTCCATCCTCTGACTTTTAGTGGACAACTTTCCACACATCTTTTTTTCAAGAGTACAAGATATTCCATATCTGAAGTGGAACAATGAAAGCCTCTTCAACAAGTAGTGCTGGAAAAACTGAACAGCTTCCTGCAGAAAAATGAACTCTGACCTCTAACGCCAGGCACAAAAGTGAGATCAAAGTGGATTAAAGACCTCAATATCAGACCTAATACATAAGGTATATAGAGGAAAATGTAGGCAGAACCCTCCATGACATTGAAGCTAAAAGCATCTTTAAGGACGAAACACCACTGTCTAAGCAAGTGGAAATAAACAAACAAATGGGACTACATTAAACTAAGAAGCTTCTGTACCTCAAAAGAAATAGTGACCAAAATACAGAGGGAGCCCACGGAATGGGAAAGAATATTTACCAAATACCCATCTGATGGGCCAGAGCAATAGCATATCAGATAGGGCGTTTGTCTTGTACGAGGCTGACTTGAGTTCAGTTCTTCCATCCCCTATCGGAGAGCCCAGCAAGCTACCGAGAGTATTACACCTGCATGGCAAAGCCTGGAAAGCTACCTGTGACATATTCGATATTCCAAAAACAGTAACAAGTCTCACAAAGGAGAGGTTACTGGTGCCCACTCAAGCAAATCGGTGAACAATGGGAGGACAGTGCTACAGGGCTACCCATCTGATAAGGGGTTATTATCTAGGATATATGAGACAATAGGAGAATTATACAAGAAAAGTACCTCCAACCCCATCAACAAATGAGGAGAATAAATGAACAGAAGCTTCCTCAGAAAAGAAATACAAATGGCCAAAAGGCACATGAAAACAACGTTCTATATCTACTAATTATCAGGGAGATACAAGTCAAAACAACACTAAGATATCATCTCACACCATAGAGACTGGCACACATCAAAAAGAACAAGAACAACCAGTGCTGACACAGATGTAAGGAGAAAGGGACTCTCTTTCATTATTGGTGGGAATTTCCAGACTGGTCCGGTCCAGCCTTTTTGGAAAACAGAATGGGCATTCCTTCAAAAAATAAAATCGAGCTTCCATATGGAAAATACCACTTCTGGGAATATATCCCGAAATTGCAAAAAAAAGCACAGTAGAAATGACATCAGCATCTGTATGTTCATTACAGCACTGTTCACAATAGCTGGCTACAACCCGAGTGTCTGAGAATAGACGAATGGTTAAAGAAACTTTTGGTACATCTACACAATGGAATACTATGCAGCTGTTAGGAGAGATGAGTCATGAAATTTGACCATAAGTGGATGGTTATGGAGAATGTCTTGATAAGTGAAATGAATCAGAAAGAGAGGGACAGACATAGAAAGACTGCACTCATTTGTGGAATATAAAATAACATAATGAGACTGACACCCAAGGAAAAAAGGGCCAGGAATATTTCTCCATAGTTGGAAGTCTGCCTCATGAGCTAGGGGAGAAAGAAGGCAGCTGGAATAGAGAAGGGATCACTAAATTAATGATAGCTGGAGGAATTGTTTGGGATGGGAGAAGGTAGATAAAGGATCAAACCTGATAGTTTCTCAGTGTCTATACTGCAAACCATAATGCCCAAAATTAGAGAGAGAGTATGAGGGAAATCGTCTACCATAGAGGCAGGGAGATAATTAGGAAGCAGGGGAGGACACTGGGGATATTGGTGGTGTAAAATGTGCACTGGTGGAGGGATGGGTGTTCGATCATTGTATGACTGAAACTCAAACGTGAAAGCTTTGCAACTTTCTCACAGTGATTCAATAAAAAATAAAAAAGAAGTTATTCCATATCTGTAGAAAAATATATAATCATAATTACTTGTTCAATTTCACCCCAAAAAGATTCATCAAGTTTCACTTACCTCCAAAGGTGAGCTGCCTTCTACCTCTGGAGTTTTACTTTGTGTTTCCATTCCTTGCTCATTTGCTACATCTCCTAGGAAGCAAGAATTAAATAGAATGAGAACTGATTTGGCCTTTCACCCCATGAAGAAGCACAAACTTATGAATTCCTAAGGGAACTTGCCTCAAGGCAGAACATTATTCTTTATATTCTTCAGGGCAAGCTAATCAGGCTTTCTGATTACAAACTTCCTCCCCAACAAGACACTGGAGAATTCTTAACCCTGGTGCTTACACCACATTAATCAACCTGTTCTCTATAACAGTCTTTCTCAACCAAAGGGATACAGACAGGGACCCTCAGCATATTTCAAGGGGTGACAGGTGAAAATTGTGCAAATGTGGGAAGGGAGCTTTTGGCAGGGACTAGGGCCTACCTGGTAGGCCAGGGAGGACACAGGAAGGAAAGGAAGTTAGAAAAAGGAAGAGAAACACTGCCCTGTAAGATCTTCCTGGTGACAGTCCTAAGCAGCACAGTCTGCTGTGCAGTGTGTAATAGGTCTCCCACAAAGGCTTGTACAAATCAGTGGGTCAATGTGCAGTTCCAGGAACTGAATGCAGCATCTCCTGGTAGTGGGCAAGTGCTCTGCCTCATTGAATGGGTACGTTAGAATTTGAGAACTTAGTCCCTGACGACATTACCTTTTGAAACTAAGTCCTGATATACTCCTTCCTTCAATAAATTCTGTCTGGGAAAAAGAGTTCTGCTTTGTTTTTTCTTGGTGATGTTTGTTTTGGGGCCACTCCCAGCAGTGCTCAAGGCTTACTTCTGGCTCTGCACTCAGGGATCATTCTGGCAGAATCAGAGAATCATTTAGGGAGCTGGGTATAGAACCCAGGTGAGTCACATGCAAGGCAAATGCCCTACCCACTGCAATATCTGTGTAGCCTGTTAATTTCTATTTCTTGAGAGATATCCCCCTCCACATACACACACACACACACACACACACACACACACACACACAACTTTACCACTGAGGTCAAAGAATGAGAAATATTTATTATACTTTTATGTTATGAAGCCAACTACTGTTTCCTTTGTTATAAAGTAAGTTAATCAATTGGGTGGTAGGCCACATATAGCATTGTTCAGAGGAACTGATTATGGTATTGGGAATGGAACTAGGGTCAAAAAAGTGACTTAATCCTTGTATTATCTTTCTGGCCCAGTTAATTCAATTTTATACAAGTTTAATAAATAAACTACAAATACATATGGAGATACCCTAAACCAGTAATGTATCCAATTAATATAGTTTACCATAGAAAAAAATGAATTCATATTTTGTAAATTAAATCACATTTTAACAAAGCAGAAGAGCTATGATTAATATAGGACAAAGTGTTTACAAATTTCAGACATGAACAAGTGTCTTGAAAATTAAGATCTTTTCAAAATTAGGTTTAACTATTGAGTTTGTGTCTCTGGAAATATGGCTCAGACTAGACATGCATGTTTGTTGTAATATTCACAACAGGAAATGACAAATTCTTATATTAGTCTTCGAAAAATACTTTGAGTCCTAAGACTGGTTTCAAGGGCAAAGGACAAGCATAAATATAAGTATGTATAAGCATAGTTCATTAACAGCTTATTTTAACTTATCCATTATCATATGTAGTAAGGAACAATTAGCCTACTTCTGTAAACCCTAGCAAGAGGATAGTACAGTAATTTGTAAATTGTTCTTCCCATAAAACTACACCAGCTCAGGAAAGTTCACAAAAATCAAGATTACAAAATTCAAAGACAGTGACTTGGCTATATCTAAAGGTTAGGAATTTGTTAATATAAAGGAGGTCATGTGTCTTTATCAGAGGTAATCTGGTATGGAAGTCTTGGCTGAGCTTTATTTTTCCATAGGATATAAAAATTACTGCTGGCTATAATCAGGGAAGAGCCTCATGAAAATTTTTAAAGGATTATGTAAGTTCTGCATAATTCTAGATTATATAGCAATAGGCAATTTAAGATTTAATTCCCCAAATATTCAATATCTAAATCTGTTGATGACTATTCCAACCATTTGTTCTTTGCTATGTACAACATTGTTGTTAGCATAACCGAGCAAATAACAGGTAGTTAATAATTAGTATTCAATAAATACTAGCTGTGTAGATTTGTGAACTTCTTTTCGATGTTGCAGTCTATAAAACTTCAACTGTGATAATATTTATTACTTAATGCCACAAAAAAAATGTAAAAACAATTAACAAAAACTATTTGTCAAGCTATTAGTACCTTCTGAAATATATTTATGCGGTCTGGGGGAAGCTGACACTGGTGGTGGAATTAATGTTGGAACACTATATGCCTGAAACTCTATTACTAACAACTCTAACTCACAGTGTCTTAATAAAAATGTTAAAAATAAAGGACATTTGTTAAAGTTAAAATGTATTACAAATACCACTATGGTTTATTTACTGTGAATGCATAACTGTAGCATAAGTTACTAGACTCTAAGAATACTTAATGATTAAAAAATCATGTTAAAAGAAAGCACTAGGGACTTTAGCTTATATTTACAGGTCAACAAAGTTAATCCTTTTTAAAGTTAATCATCATAAAATAAAATAAGTCTGCTATTTTATAACCCAGGATGTCAAGCAACTATTTTGATTGATTATTTTTGGTGATCAGGTTAACTATTTTTTGCATCTTAGTAACAGCTTTATTTTCAGATATTATTGTCTCTGAAAGTTAGGGATAAAATGATAAGCCACAATTTTCAGGTGCTAAAACAAATGCATAAAGAATTTAGATGCTCTTATAGACCAAACATGATTGTCACCCATTGCCTCTTTTGCAAACCACAACACCCAATAAGAGAGAACAAAAGGAATACCCTGCCAAAAAAAAAAGAATTTAGATGCTTAATTTTAGGCATGAGACTATGGCAAAACATTATTTAAGTCACTGCAATGCAATACTGTAGGGTCAAGGTATACTTAATAACTCAGAAATCAGAAATTTATAAGAAACTATGCTTAACTAATATGGAAGATAATTTACTCAATAAACATTTTTTACTTGTATTAAAATGGCTTATGTTCCTCAGCTGTCACATAAGCTGTATTTGACTAAAATCACTCAGTACAGTCTATGCCTTTTTGCCTTTTTTTTAAAGTACATATTTACATAAAACTCCATTTCTCCATACTACTTAAAATAGCCACAAAGGCCAGTGTTCTTGACATCTCATAACACACATGCCTGGAAGCAACTATATAAATACTAATTACTGAAATGCCATATCTAGTGATGACTTAGATAGGACAAGAATTGATTACTAAGGGAAATTCACCATCTGCAAGATATTTCTCTACACACAAAAGCACAGAATTAAAACTACACAAAGGGAAAAGAACAGGTCATCAGGAAATATAATTTTTGAAGTTACCACTCCCACTGAAGTTACCACTCCCACTGAAGAATTACCCTTATTATAGCAAAAATACTGCTGTTGTCTCTATTTTGATATAACCCACATGAAACTTACTTTAACAATAAAGATGGTTACTTTAACAATAAAGCTACTTTAACGATAAAGCTAATAAATGTGAAATGTAGTGCTTAAGTTTTCAAACATCAGTTAACTAATTTAAATGCTAGATTCAAAAACTTCATTTGCAAGTCATCTGTTTAAAAAGAACAAAAACAACCAACTTCCACAGTACTTCACATTTCCTTATGCCTCTTTTACAACACTTTTGATTCTCAAGGGAAAGAATTGAGGGAGGGAGGGAGGGAGGGAGGAAGGAAGGAAGGAAGGAAGGAAGGAAATGCCACCAAAAAAAAAAGAATCAGACATTCTTCCCTTCTTAACACATTCTCCCTATATAAGGGAATTGAATACTGATGAGGGGCAGAGGCACTCAATGACATGTGCAAGTTCTCCTGGATGGAAAGTGATCACGGTGCAAGAACTGGTCTCCCAACATCTCTGGGAATTCTGTTCTCAGGTGGAAGGTACCAGGAGATGAGACCAGAAGTGTAAGGAGCAAAGCCTCTAATGAAAAGGCATGAGTAGACGGTGCTCCGCGGACTGAGAAAGGGCTTTCAGAGCAGAATCCTGTGCTAGTCTGCCTCTAAATAACTGTCTCTCTATACTTCTATTCCATGGGCCCCATATATGATTTACTCCCTTCCCTTTCCTCTGGTCCATATTTGAACAATCCCTTCTTCCAGTCCTTCAAAGCAAACACACAGTCCTCTTGAAATCTTCACAGAAGTTTGCGAATATAGAAACGATTCTACAAGCTGCTCTGGTAAGCATGTGATGTACTTGGTTTAAAATGCAGTTTTAAATGTAGTTTTAGTTCCAAAGTGCTAAAGGCGACATATATATGCTAACAAAGATCTTTCAGAGATTCATCTGTTATATGAGGGGTAGGCAATTTATTTTTGTAAAGGCTAGACAAGTAAACAGTTTAGGTTCTGTGGGGCACCTGTCTCTGTTGCAACCTCTCAACATCCCCATTGTACTGGAGAGCAGCAACTAGAAAGAGTTTATAGATGATCTATAAACTAATGAGTGTGGCTGAAGACCAATAGAATTTTATTTACAAAATATGTGGTAGACTGTAGTAATCTAATCTACACTTTAGAGGGAGGAAAAGAATCATCCTGATTCCACATTCTACTGTATAAACAGGGTTTAGGAAGAAGAGAAATGGTGATGAAGTGTGAGCGGTCAGAAAGGAAAGGTAGAAAGAAGGGAAACTCCAGAAGCTTGACTCAGTGTGGAAGGGAGAATGAGGGAACACTCTCATTCCATATGCCCACATAAATGTAATATTCACCTCAGCCCTTCCTCCTAGTGGATTCCAGCTAATGGATTGCTTCCTCCCAGCTAATGGATTTCTGACTTCGGCAGAACGTAGCTGCACAGGGTTCTGTCCCATCCTCTGAGGAAAAGGACGCCACCGGATGCCCCGGCTCTGTTTGCTCTTGTCTCCACTGGAACCTTAATTTGTGGAAGGCTACCCCATCCAACATACCCTGCAATTGAAGATTAATTTAGACTC